CTTTGTAATATTATATAAAATATTTAAATATAAACAAATAGCAAAACAAGTCATATATTAAAAATGAGTGTAAATTTTAAAAATATCGATGGTTCAAAAAAGAGCTTATAGTAAAAATGTACCTAAAAAACATGTATAATTATGTTTAAAAATTTCTAATTGTATTTTTTGTTTTAGGAAGATTGACTCGCGTTTTTCGTTTGTTATGTTAAAAATTTTACGTGCTAAAATTTTTAAAAATGAATATGTTGATTAGGAGAAATTACCATTAGTTGAAATGACTATGGGTTGAAAAATAAAATTATTTTATATTGAGTATTTATTGATATTTTTATTTTCGCCATTAGTAAGAGGATTTGAATAAATTGATGAGGGAAAAGAAGAGACACAGGTAGCGTCCCAAATTAGGGATTTCCCATTGGACCATGGGATGCAGGTTAAACCGACAGGTCTGAGACCATCTTGTAGAGAGAGGTTTGTTGGTTCTAGAATGTTAGGAATTTTAGCTTTATTGAGAGCGTTATGGATGATTTTATTTATGCTTTATGCCGGAGGTGGCGACCTTGGCTACGGGAGCAGTTTAGGCCGTGTCTTGCATTTGGTTGTACGGGTAGGTTGCAAAGGTGGCAAGTGTGTGAATGTGTTAGCGAGCATCCTAGTCTAAATCCTATGGTAACTCTCAGTTGGTCATTGGTTAAGAGATTATCAAGGGTTAGGCTTGGAAGTGCCTCGAGCCATTCATATCCGCCATATTTATCGTTTAATTGAAGAAGTTGAATATCGCTGATATCGGAGGGGTTCAGACTATTTTGAAGTTTCTTTGGTTCCAAGATTGATTTATTAGAAATTTCGGTTGGGAATGTTTGACCGTCTGGGGTTAGTAGATTCCATTTTTCGATTGCTACTGTTAAGAGATCGTCATTGGGGGTTATAAAAGATGAGATCGCGGAATTGACCGAAAGGCGATTAGAGATAAAAAGAGATAGGGAGAGTAATTCTAAGGGGATCAGGTCGATACCGCCTAGTTTAGCGGGTAATTGAGCAAGGTGCCAGTTAAAGTCTGATAATGGAAGATTAAGGATCCTTTCCATTAAGATCTTTAAGCGAATATTATGCTTGGTGAAAAATTCTGAGGAGGTGAATGAGGAGGATGAGTGGAAGAGGTGTGAGATTTTAAGTAAATATAGGCACTTTTTTAATAGATAAAAAAGTTGGTGCGATGGGATATGATTGATGAACTTTACCAAGTTTTGCAACTCGAAGAAGGTTTTATCGATAGTTTTTTCCGAAATTTTATTATTTAGTAGTGGGGGGCCCAAGAGTTGGATATCTTCGATTTCGATAATATTGTAATCTTTAAATGAGTCTAGGGGAATCTCGGGGTTGAGTATGCAGATTTCTGTTTTGGTTTTGTTTAATTCTAGGCCTATTTTGGGGCATTCTCTTTCGAGGTGGAAGAGGGCTTTGCTTATTTGATGTTGGTTACCGCAGAGAGTGCCATCGTCTAGGTACCATAAATTAAGGTCTAGATCAAAATCAGATTTGAGATCTTTCATCATATTATGGATGGCTAAGCAGAAAAGTATAGGGCCTATCCCTGCTGAACACCCTCTTCTGAGTATATACCGCAACCATTGAAAATGAGGGGAGTGCTATTGGTATAGCAAATGTCAACAATGCGTGAGTATTGGGGGAAATTATCGTAAAACGATTCGAGAGCCGAGGAACGAGATACTGTATTGAAGGCGTTTTTGAAATCAATTTTACAAAGAACGGAGTTTAAAGGTGGATGTTGTAGGTAGATTCGGAGACAGTGAGAGGCTATATCTACGCCTCCTTTTGTTCCGCAGCCTAATTGGTAATTGCCAAGCAGGGAATGAGTAACGGTTTTTATTTTTTTTGCGATGATTTTAGTAATCAGGCGTCTGAAGAAAGAACCGATAGCTATTGGGCGGATACCTCCTTTCGGCTTTTCAAATGCAATCAAGTTAGCTCCAAATATTATTTGATGAGCTAATGTGGGGATATCTCTATTGATTATATTATTGAGGAAGGATGTAAGTGAGTTAAAAAAAACTATTTGAATTTGGAGATTTTAGGAATGTTTGGAAGTAGGAAGGTCTATAGCCGTCAGGACCTGCTGATGAAAATTTATTAAATTCGTTTATAGTGTCACGTATATCTTGGTTTGATATTGTGAGAGGAGGAATATCGGACGGAGGATTTGGTAAGCTAGTATAAGAAGCTCGTGGATGGAGAGATTTTAGGTTTTCAAGAGTCACATCATTAGATGGGGCTAGTTTTGATTGTGAGGAGATTAATTTTTGGGCTCCGCAGACGTCGCCTTCATTTATTTTCTTGGAAATTTTGTCACAGATTTTAATGAAACTTTCATTGGAATTATTGGGATATTTGATGTGTTCAAGAGGTGTTAAGTAATCTATATTTTTAAGTCTGTCTTTTATAATGTTAGGTAGTGAAATAGATTTTTTATCTTTTGGGATTGAGAGAAATTTAAAAGGGAAAGTGAAAAGATTATTCCAATGATTTGTGTTTGACAAATCAGAGTTAATATTATCAAATAATTTGGTGAGATGGTCTGTGATAAGGTAGTTAACACTGGTTGGGATGTGCTTAATTGTTGGTGATTTATTAATAAAGATAAATTCTTCTAGTGATTTGTTATTTACTTGTATGTGTTTGGTATTTATTGGGGGTTCTATAAGTTTTGTGCAAAGTGTGTTAGAGCCTGAGCAAGGGAGGGTTGTAGGGCCATGTTTGTAAAGATGGTCATCCTTTTTTATATTTATTAGTTTATGGCAAGTTGGACAGATTCCTTTCATGGTAATGATGATGGGAAGGATTGATATTTAAGGTATTTATTTATTTAAGTCAGAAATAGAATTTTGCCTTAATATATGTAGCCTTTTCTTTAAAGTCATAATTTTATAACTCCTTATTATAATTTGGGAGTCTTATTATTGCCAAGTTTTGGTTTATGAATCTGATTTGATATTTCTGAGTTTTTGAATTTTGGATAATTATTTTGTACTCAGATATTAAATATTTGAATGTTTATTAATCAGATTTATCAAATTAGTTTTTAAGGGTTTTTTTTAATTGAGTGATATATAATTCAATTGCTTATTAGTATTAAGGCCGTTAAGAGCTGTAAGGATTTTGATAAAGTTGTATTTCATAGGGTAAAAAAAAAATATAATTTTGGAAGATATAAGAATAATATTGCTGCTAAAACTACTGTGTTAAAGTGATGATGTAAAATAAATAATTCCTGAATCTTTTTGATGAATATAAATTTTGGAAGATATTAGAATAATATTGTTGCTAAAACTACTGCTAATGAAGTTATTATTAAGGTCAAAATTTTGGAAAATTTATGTAAGTTGTAATTACTGTTAAAATGATGATGTAAAATAAATATTTCCTGAATAATTGTTGTAGTTGCACGAGATTGAATTATTATAAAAATATTGCTGCTAAAACTACTGTGTTAAAATAATGATGTAAAATAAATAATTCCTGAATCTTTTTGATGAATATAAATTTTGGAAGATATTAGAATAATATTGCTGCTTAAACTACTGTTATATCTTGTATTAATAATGGATCTTTATAAAGTAATATGATTTTATCCCCTTTGTTCATTATTATTCTTTACATTTGCCAAGTGTTTATTAGTCACGAAAAGATTATGAAAAAATATATAAATAAAAATCATACTGTAATTATTATTTTAATTTAAAAAGTGAGAATAACTGTCTTGCTAAAAAGCAAACTAATGAGAGAACACATTATCATTAGTATTATATGATTTTGTTTGTTTATCATTATTAACTTTTTTAATTTTATTTATATTATTATCATTATGTTCCTCTTCTAAATGATCAATTTTAGTTTCATCATTTTGTAATTTTTTATTGCTGTTTCTACTGCAGTAGCTATCTGAATAGCTTTATTTAGGTCTATATCGTCTTCGGATAGTAATCTTTGTAAAATTTTTGGATTTTTTATTTCGAATATAAATTTATCTCTTAATGCAGTATTTAAATATTCCCCAAAATCACAAGTCGTTGCTACTTTTCTTAGATTTTATATAGTCTATTAGTTTTTCATCATTTTGTTGATTATATTGATAAAAATTATATCTCTCTACTATTATATTAGGTTTAGGATGAAAATGCTTGATTAAATATTATGTATTTCTAATACCTCTTTGTTTCCCGGACTATCAGTTGCACATCCAGTATTTTGTACGTATCACACCCTATTGTTGTTAATAACAGAGATTTTTCTTGTATGATGTTAAACTTGGTTTTTTGTTTTTAAATTCTTGAAATAAGTTGTACCAATCTTTGTAACACAGGTTTGAATCCGTTAGACTTTTTATAGACTGCGCCATTATATGTAATGTATTTTATATAGTAAACAAATCAGCCTTTATTATTCAAATTAATCTCAAAATATGTAATAATAATAAAAATAAACATTTTACAAAAAATAACAAAAAAACAACAATTTAATACACATCACTTATCGGTAACTAACGGTATCTCCGGGAAATTTTCGATATTATTATTTTTTTTATTGTTTTTTTTTTAAATATTTTTTTTATTATTTTTTTTTATTAATTTTTTTTATTTTTATTTATTTTTTTATAACTAGATATTCATAATATACTAGAGAATTAAGATTTTTTCTTGAAATTTTCAATTATTTAAGATTCTATTTAAGATATATTCTTAAAATTTTCAATTATTTAAGATTCATTTAAAATTTTTCAAATACTAGATATTTAAGATTTTTTTCTTATAATTTTAATTTTCTAAAACTATATAATCATAATATACTAGAGAATTAAGATTTTTTCTTGAAATTTTCAATTATTTAAGATTCATTCTAAAAATTTTTAATTTAATTTAAAATTTTGAATCAAATACTAAATATTTAAGATAAAAATATAATCATAATATACTAGAGAATTAAGATTTTTTCTTGAAATTTTCAATCAAATTCTAGATAATTAACCAATTTATTTCAATAAACAATGATAATATAGATATATATAATTTTAAGGAAAAACAAAAATAGTTTTATACATATTTATATCATTTAAAAATTTAATTAATTTATTTAAATTGGACATATTTTTAATTTTGCGAAAATAACTGTATTGACATATATACAAATGAGTTGAAGATTTTTTTCCATTTCTGGGTATGCTTACCTTAAGATCCCTCCATAAACGCTCAATGCGTTGAGTATGGGTTGATATATCATTAGGGTCTACAAAATTTTGACTGTGATTCACTGAGTAATGGTCATAGCCATTATCATTTAGATTGTTATAACTTAACAAATATTAAATTTTAACATTTATCAATATTTAAATTACCCCTTCCATTTGTCCGTCATTATAGTTGAATCAGTATGGACATGTTTGCTGATTATACCTAGAAGGGTATCTTTATCTCTTTTTTCTGTATGAGAAATAAAAAAATTCCCATCATTTCTTGAAATTCCTCCTACAACCCAAATGGCATTAGATTTTAGAATCCTCCCTGTGTTATTTTTCCTTTTAAAAATATGGGATTCATCTATTTCAATCACATGCCCAGGGCCCCCTATTTTGTCAAAATTAATTGCCTGTGTATGGCAGTAAATCTTTCTAAATATAGCATACCTAAAAAATACTTATTGACAAATTTTACAAATAAATATATACCATTTTCCAATGGTACATTGTGCTAACTCTATTAAAGGAAGGCTGTCGGATATTGACGTCAAGGACACAAAAAGATATATTAGATGTATAAATTTGTTAACAGGGATATTAACATTTTCAAATATAGAGCCTAATTAATAAAATAAATTTAAAAAATAATATATTGTTAAACCTTTCCATATAGAATTGCTGCTTGTACATATTTTGCATCTTACTCTATAAGATGCTGCATTTCTCTCCATTATCATTTTATTATTACAACACGTGTGATTATCTAGAAGTTCGTGGTCTTTTAAAAAAGCTATGGTTCTTGTATAACAATTTATGATATCGGTAAAAATAAGATATTCCATTATAATATTATAATTATGGTCTTTTAAAAAAGCTATAATTAAAAATAACAACAATAAATAAAAATAAATTAAAAATAAATAAAAAATAAATTTATAAAAAAAGATGAAAAATTTCCCCGAGATACCGTTAGTTACCCACTTATCTAATTATTTTTCATATATTTAACATCAATCATTAAGTATTCTCGACACTCAAAAGCCATTTTTTTATAAGTATAAAAAAGAAATATTTTAAATTCCAAATTTAACTTTTCGAAACTTATTTGCCAATATGCGTTCAAACAAGGCGTTATAAATTTGACCACTTAGCGTTACCTTTTGATTTAATTATTTTGGCCCCAGTGTTTTAGAGAACAAAGAGTATTTCAGGATTTTATAGGTGTATTTTTCTATATGGTTGATGATTTAATTTGAGATATAAAATAAAGGAAAGTTAGGTAGAATCATTAAGTTGAGAACATAGAGATGACCCCTGGACACCAGGAAAATACAGGGATAAAAATTTATTCTCATCGTTTTATAGACTAAGTAGCAGCCCCGTTGTTTAATTTGGTAAATAAATGTAAAATGTGAGTGGGGAGAGGAACAGGAGAGTAGGAGAATAGTTTTAAAAGAGTAAAAAGTTAATAAAAGAGAAATCAATTTTAAGATACTTTGATAGACATTTGGAGATAAGATTAGTGGTCAATGCATCTATAGTGAATGACTGTGAGAGGCCAGTCATCTATCTTTATTAAAAAAGGCAGGGGTTGACTATTCAATAATAGCTAAAGAAGTAAAGTGTAGAAAATATGTGATGGTTAGAAAATTTACAATAGAAACGGATCATAAAACATTAGTTGGGTTATTTAAAATAGAGCATAATGAGGCTATAAAAGTGGATAACCATGAGAGTAGGGTTGGATATAGAGGTGTAATATAAGAAAGATAGAGAGAATAACCAACCAGATGTAATTATTCAGATGGCTTTAGAAGAAAATAGCGAAGACGCGAAAGAGATAAAAATAACGAATAGCCTATTTATAAAAAAAAATACAAAGGTTATACAAGATAGCAGGTTAAGGTGTGAAGACATAAGGGAAATGTTGTGATAAATTATATTTAAATTGTTGATATGACCGATTAACACTAACCTTTAAATTGTTTTTTTTATGTTTATATAAAAATTGTTAATTTAAAATAAAATAAATAATCTCGTAACAATCATTTATTTTAGAAAACTTTAAAGAAGATAAAGTGAACGAATTAAATCGCAATTTATCGTCAAATAGAGACATCATGAATGGTGACAAAGTATGGTATAAAACCTTCAAGGGTAAGTGGGACAAAGGCACGATAAAACGTAAAAATGGGAATTTAACATTTGAAGTTGAAACAGGAGACAAAATTATTAGAAGACATTTAGACCAAATTAAAAAAAAGGTCTACGAGTAGCGCACCTCTTGATGAAACGACACATGTGAAAACAAATGCAATACCCTTTACTGTAAGTTTTAGAAGAAATGATGATCCAAATTTAGGAGAACAAGAACAGAGTCTTGTTAGTCAAAGACCAAGCAGGAATATAATTTCGCCCAAAAAATTCGATAATTTTATAATGAAATAAAGACTAAATATATATATATATAATAAAATATTTTTCTTTTAAATAAACTTTCAATAGCAAAAGTTAATGATGACAATAAAACTATCAAGAAACGTTGACTACACGATAAGATTCAAATGCAAGAAAAACCTGAGTGGAGATCATTTTTTTAAAGGGTAGAATGTTGATATGACCGCTTAACACTAACCTTTAAATTGTTTTTTTTATGTTTATATAAATTGATTTTTTTTTATATAAATTGTGTAGATTGATTTTTTTTATATATTAATATGAAAATTGTTATATAAGCCTGATTTTTTAGTTTGATAAAAAAATGTAAAATTTTAAAATTTATTTTATAAAATTAAATCATAATTTAAAATAAAATAAATAATCTCGTAACAATAATTTATATTAGAAAACACAATCTAATTACGATAAAAGACAACGATGGACAAGAGGCCATGACTTTCAAAGAAATATTTTTCAAGGAAATAGTTATAACCCCAGATATCAAGGAAATAATTACAACCCTAGATATCAGAATTATAACGCGAATTATTACAACAACGTCAGAGCAAACTATCCAGGATCGTACAATAATTCTTCGAGATTTGATAATAGAGCTAGTTATAATAATAATGACTATAATAATAATAGATTTAATAATGAATATAATTACAGATATAACAGACATTATAACGATTCAAGATGTATTCAAAGATATAACGATAATCATAATATTGGAAATCAAGGAAGAAATCAAGTATGCAATTGTAAATATCATAACAACGACAATAATCAATCACGATATACAAATAAAGTAAACACTGTAAATATAGAAGAGATAAAAGAAGATGATAATGACAAACTAGAAAGAAAAGTATATAATTCATACAATTTAAACATAAACAATATGGATATCGATAATAATTAAACAGCTAACCATGCTTATAAGGTCACGGTATATTTGAACGACATGCCTATTTTGATGCAGATTGATACCGGCTCAAGGTATAGTATCCTACATCGTGAAAAAGATTGGAGTAAAAATCTTAAATAAATCAGATATTAAATTAACTGGATATGATGGAAACACAATAAATGTATTAGGAACTACCAAAGTCAAGGCAAAATTCGAGGACAAAAGTCAAATCTTAATGGCTTATGTAGTCCAGAGTGATAAGATTGCACTGTTAGGAAGACCCTGGATAACAGTTTTTGGGAATATACTAGATAAATTTGTAAATATGGTCGAGGATGATTATGATAATACTATACAAGAATTAATCAAGCAATGCAATTTTAAACTTAACCAAAAACCAATGCTACGCAGCTATGTCAAATTACGTTTTAAACACGATGCCACACCGAAAATCATACCGCCAAGGCGTATACCATATTCTAGAGTTGATTTGATAACAAAAGAACTTCAAAAGTGGATAAACGATAAAATTATTGAATCTGTTGAAGATGTTAGATGGGCTAGTCCTCTCACTCCCGTTTATAAGAGCGATGGCTCACTTAGGCTCTGTGCCGACTTCAAAAATACTATCAACCCTGCTTAACAAGATTTCAAGTACCCTATACCACGTATAAATGATTTAATCACTTAATTATCTAAACGTAAAAAATTTACCAAGATAGATTTTAAAAACGCGTTTCTCCAAATACCCATACCCAAGGAATCAGGAGATTTTCCTACGATATCGACACATAAGGGTTATTATAGGTTTACGAGACTGCCGTTTGGTTTAAAAACTTTGTCGGCAATATTCCAACAAACTATGGATAACATTTTCGGAGATTTAAAAGATGTTATATTCTACATTGACGACTTGTTAATTACAGGTGATAACGATGAGATACATTTGGAGAACATTAAAAAAGTATTCGAAAAGATCATCAAGTATGGATTAACCCCCAATTTCGACAAAAGTTTATTCCTGCAAGATAAAATACGTTTTTTGGGACATGATATAGACCAACATGGTATACATCCCAACGATGATATAAAAGCTATTTCTAACATGCCGGAACCGAAGACAAAAGATGAATTGACAACTTTTTTGGGGATGGCGAGCTATTATCGAAAATTTTTATGTAATTTTGCGGACGTAGCTGATCTTTTATACAAATTGGTTAATAAAGACAAATGGTTATGGGATAATACACATTAAGAAAGCTTCGACGACCCAAAAAATCTGATAAGTACTCCGCCTACGTTAAATTTTTATAATCCGGATCTACCAATAGGCATTGCAACTGATGCTTCAAAGAAAGGTCTAGGCGCAGTCTTATTTTATATTGAAGGTGATGGTAAAGAGAACCCATTGCTTTTGCGTCAAGAGCTTTATTGAAATCAGAGTTTAATTACACTAATATAGAGAGGGAAGCTTTATCTGTTATATACGCGGTAAAAAAGTTTCAAGAATATTTAATTGGTACGAGATTTACAATAATCACAGATCACAAGCCACTCGTTTATATATTTACTAAGGGACTTAAGAATAACTCATCCATATCAATGCGACTTCTAAAATGGAGTTTGGCTATGGGAGCTTATGACCTTACGATAATTCATAGGCCCGGGAAACGAAATGTAGTACCGGATTGTTTGTCAAGATTACCCATGAATACAGAAGAAATGATACAAGAGATAGATGATAAAAAAATTGATGACAAATTTTGGGATTTACCAATAAATTTTAAAAGAATAGTTCAAGAAACTAGTATTGATATCGAATTAATGGAGGTAATTAACAATATAAAGAATCATGAAGAGATAAAGAATAAAATATATAAAAATATGGAAATGGAACTGAGCTTAATTAAAGATTGTCTTTTTAAAGAGAATAGGATCATTATACCAAAAAATATGAGAAAGGAGATATTACAGGAATTACACAAAGGGCATCTTGGTGCTGGGAAAACGAAATTGTTGGCGAGAAATTACTTGTGGTGGCCAGGTCTAAACGCTGAAATAGATCGAGAAACTGTGATACGTGTAATAAATATGCGGACAATCCTCATAATGTACAAAATCCATGGGAAACAGCTGTAAAAGTGTTTAAACGCGTGCACATCGACTTTGCACAGTTAATTTCTTGGTATGTGTTGACGCATTTAGCAAATTCCCTATCATTAGAAGAATGAGAGATATAACTACTGAGTCTACAATTAAAGAATTATTAAAAATAATCAGTTTGTTTGGTATACCCGATATGATAGTCAGCGATAATGGTACGAATTTTACAAGTAGCTTGTTCAAAAAATTTTGTAAGGATTATGGAACTGATCACATTTTCACCGCGCCTCACCACCAACAGTCCAATGGTCAGTGTGAGCGAATGATAAGATCAATGAAAATATGCATGAAAAGGAATATGGAAAGTAATAAGAAATTAGACTTAGATATAGCTTTAGAAAAGTTTTTATTTAATTATCGCAACACACCAAACGCGACAACCAACAAGATACCAAGCGAAGTGATGTTCAACAAAACCAAAAGAACCACATGGGATTTAAAAAAACTGCAAGAAGATAAAGTGAACGAATTTAATAGCAATTTATCGTCAAATAGAAACATCATGAATGGTGACAAAGTATGGTATAAAACCTTCAAGGGTAATATGTGGGACAAAGGCACGATAAAACGTAAAAATGGGAATTTAACATTTGAAGTTGAAACAGGAGACAAAATTATTAGAAGACATTTAGACCAAATTAAAAAAAGGTCTACGAGTAGCGCACCTCTTGATGAAACGACACATGTGAAAACAAATGCAATACCCTTTACTGTAAGTTTTAGAAGAAATGATGATCCAAATTTAGGAGAACAAGAACAGACTCTTGTTAGTCAAAGACCTAGCAGGAATATAATTTTGCCCAAAAAATTCGATAATTTTATAATGAAATAAAGACTAAAAATATATATATAATAAAATATTTTTCTTTTAAATAAACCTTCAATAGCAAAAGTTAATGATGACAATAAAACTATCAAGAAACGTTGACTACACGATAAGATTCACATGCAAGAAAAACCTGAGTGGAGATCATTTTTTTAAAGGGTGGAATGTTAATATGACCGATTAACACTAACCTTTAAATTGTTTTTTTTATGTTTATATAAATTGATTTTTTTTAATATAAATTGTGTAGATTGATTTTTTTTATATATTAATATGAAAATTGTTATATAAGCCTGATTTTTTAGTTTGATAAAAAAATGTAAAATTTAAAAATATATTTTATAAAATTTAATTTAAAATAAAATAAATAATCTCGTAAAAATCATTTATTTTAGAAAACTTTATAAATGTTTATATGTTTACTGTTCTGAGGCTATATTTGCATATTATAATATGTTCAATTTATTAAAAGTTTTAAATTTTTACTGTTCCGTTATTTTGTTATATATAAAAAAGTTTCAATTTACTTTTTAAGACATTATTTTTGACCTTGTTATTAATAAGAGAAACAAAATTACTATATATATAGTTCAATAATATAGATAATTTAAATCTTCAGACTTTGGTAATTTTATTAGCTTTTATTTTGCAAATTCGTTATTAAAACAAAATCAATACCAACCTGTTAATTCAATTCTATCGAACTCGATTCTCCTTTTCGAACCCTCCCTAATCTCTATATGGTGGAGGAAGGAGCTCCAGCTTATTGGCTTGTATACTTCCTGCGCTCGCCTGGTATGGTACTGAAGATGAAGCATATGGTATTTTAACAGACGAAGAGACGCTTAGTAAAAGAAAAATTGATGATAGATATGATATGAAAGCAATTATCGTATGTTCCTGCGCGCAAATTGTATGGTATTTAAAACAAAGAGCTGATTATTGAAAAATTGTAATCACACATTTTTTTTACATTCAAAAACTCTTTTAATTTTTTTAGTATTTAAATTAATAATCATGATGATTTATTTTAATAACAAAGATTTGTATAATCGTTTTATTAATTGTGAAGTTTTAATGTAATATATAATGTTAATCCATTTTAGGATATTATATGTTTATTAAATTTATTTAGTATATACTTTTAGTGTAATTTATAGCTTTTTAAGTTAAAAATATAATTACGAAAAAAACTATTATAGATAGCTATATTGACGACCCCTCCTCATCAGCACATATATAGTGTAAATTATAGCTTTTTAAGTTAACGATATAATTACGAAAAAAACTATTATGGATAGCTATATTGACTCCTCCCCATTAGCCCATATATAGTGTAATTTATAACTTTTTAAGTTAAAGATATAATTATGAAAAAAACTATTATAAATAGCTATATTAACCCTTCCCCACCCCCTTTCTTTGATGTGTTGGTATACTAATTATTCTTTCCACAATATGTATTCCCTTTCACATTATAATGTATTAATTGACTTTCTCCAAAATTATGTTATAAATTATTTTAAGGAAAAAACATTGTTACAATTATATCATCACTTTCACATGTATTGTAAATTTTACTGATTACATGCTTACCATAAAGAGATAGTAAGGATAAAAAGATTAGGATGAGAATATGTATAGTGGCAGGAATGAATAATGAGATTATAAAATTAAGTAGGAATGTGAGACATGTAATAAGTGAACCAGAATGGAGGTGATAAAAAAACATAGTTAGATATAAAATCCAGGAGAGAGTGTATACATATGATCTGAAATATATTGCACTTTATAATAATGGTAAATGAGTATTGAGAGTGGGTGTAATGGGAAGGTTAGTCGATTGACAAGTGAAATAACAATTTAAAAATTGGTCTAATGGATGGACAGACATGGACTGCTAAAAACATTTGTATCTTATGGACCAGTATTTTCGAGTGAAAGTTTTATATTTTAAAATAATCTAAGCATTAAGCCTGTAGTATCCCTATCATATCATCCGAGATCTAATGGACAAGCTGAAAGGATCGTAGGGTTAGGAAAATATTGTTTAAAAAGTTGAGAAATGGAGGGGGGATGTATGGATTTTATGGTTTTATTACAATAATAGTATAAATGCTACGGGAAGATCTACGTCTGAAATCTTTTTAGGAAGAACGGCTATTTGGGAATAAGAGGAAAGAATGGCCAATGAAACAATAGCAGAGACGCGACGAGGGAGATGGAAAGTAGAAAAAAAGAGAGAGTGGTGAGTAGTCAATGGAGAAGTAAGGGACATTATATATTAGTTATATATGAAGTCAATAATTAGAAAAATAAAAATCATGACACATTTCTTTTAAAATGTGAATATACTATTAATTAAAATTTATATTTTTAGAAGAAATTGATATTAATTAAAACCTTTTTGGAAAAAATTGATATTAACTAAAACCTTATTTTTAGGGAAAATGATATTATGTTTTGATTTATAAAAATCAATAAATTTGTATATTGTATGAAGCATAGATGTTTAAAGTATTTAAGCTGGCATAACTTTTTTATGGGAAAGGGAAGAATAGGGGGTCATAGGGTCCCTTCTATCGGTGTTTCCATCATGAGCCTAGATGGGGATAGAGGGAACTGATTAGTATTTAAAGTTGGTACACAACTTTACACAGTTAAATTTTGATTATTATTGTCAAAATTAAAGTAAATAAATGTTGATATTATAATTAGTTGAAAGAATGGCCTTGACTTATAAAAATTTGTGTTTATTAAAAATATAGTAAGGTTACATTATGTCATAATATTTATGATTTGTTTTAATTCCATTAACATATATATATGGATAGATATATTTATATAGTTTATTTTATATGATAATGAATTTTGACATAAATAACGTAACTGTTAGACATTTCAGAGAAATAGATCTAGGCAATATTCCCAAATGGATATTCAGTATAGAAGGCTGGGGGACCAGTGTTAAATTTTTCAGAAGCTGCTTCAAAGTTGACCCCTCAGGTTGTTTTATAGCTGAATTACCTAGTCAGGAGATAATCGGTAAATTAATATTTATTATATTAGAATATGATTATTTTTTTAAATTTGATTCGATACATTATTTTTTTATTTGACATATGGAATGGTGTAAGAATAAAAACAATCGAAAAATACGTTTTTTTTCCTTTTTAAAATTTTTATTATTATCTATCACTATACCAATTCTAATGAAAAATGTAATCTAATCATGTTTATTTTTGCAAATTTTATTTTACCACGCATCTTAAATAATTAATTTAATTTTTGAATGTTTCAAGAAAATTTCGATATAATAATTTTTAAGCATGTTTTTTGTTTTGTTTTTTTATCTCAAATTTATTTCTTTTTAAATTTAAAATACATCATATTTTCGTTTTTTTACATCCATATATAGGACTCAAATTTTCGCTCTATCTAATCTCATATTAAAATTGACTCCTTTAATAAAATCTTCAAATCTAACAATTCATCAGTTAGACCTTCTGAATAAAGAGGTTTGGCCTGGGTTTTCGAAAAATGTTACCAACTCAAAATATTTTTTTTCCTTCTCCATTTTAATGCTATGCATTAAATTTAAATACACAGCAGAGCTTTTATAATTTTGTTTATCTATTCTATTTATTAGAAAATATTATGAGAAAATTACTATTAAATACCCACTTCCTGATTTGTTTAAAACTTCTCATAATTTTAATTCAATTTATAATTGTGATATTCAATCAAGCAAAAAAGGAAGCACCGGAAGGAAATATAATATTTAGGGTCATAGGCAGAGCCGAGCCTATATTATATTAATAATATTACCGCCTGCCAGACTGGACTTTAATGTATACACTATATGAAAATGTGCTCATATTTTTTGCCCGATTTTAATTTTGGGTAACTCATTAGGTTCAGAACTCACCTAATTATATTTGTTGATATGTAGGCTCGTTGCGCATTCATATTATAATTTTAAATTTGAAACTTCTGATAAATATGAGTAGTTAGTTAAATTTGCCTTTACTTAATTGAACATTTTTATTCTAATCATTTTGTTTTGTTGAAACGTTAGAAGTATAGTAACTATACTTTAACCTTATAAAAAAAATATAGGGGAGACCGGGGTTATATTGTCCATAAAAAATTGAGAGGCTGTGAAAAGGAGGAGAAATAATTTATCAAAATAATTTTGGTGTTATTTTATTCTTTATATAATTATCTACGGTAGAAATTAATATCTAATAAAAAAATGGAAATTTTTGAGTCATGAAAAAGAGACGGGGGACGTATTATCCTTTTGTGGGGCATGTTTTAGACTATCATTTTCTAAGCATTTTATTCATTTTTTTTCATACAAAAATCATAACAAACATATAATATTAACATACAACACATTTATTACATATAAAAAATGGATTAAAATCACAACATGATCCATGTGCCCATAAATGACAATTACGGCATTGGAACCAATCTTCATTATGGTGGTGAGTTTGATAGTTTTTGTGGCACACTAAACAAAATTCTTTTTTGCCAGCATTCATATTTAAACTTTTTTTATTATTGGTTTGATTTTTTTTCCAGATTATTAGCCCTAGATCTGGCTATTTTTCTGTAAGGTGAAGAGGTTAAAATGGCTGAAGTCATTTGATTACGTGTTGTTTTTTTAAATATTGTTGGATGGGGACTAATAATTTCTGGAGCAAAATCTTTTTCCACGTGAGAAGATGATGGAACAGGACTATCACTGACAGATGGTTGCGAAATAATTTCAGATAAATTTAAATTCTCATTTATGATCGTTATTATTATTATAATATAAAGGATTAGAATTTTCGTCATTAAAAATTAAAGGATTTAGGGGCCATATACCTGAGGATTCAAAACCCTTTTGAATATTCGAAGCTGAGGTGGCTTTTGAAAGGACATCCTTTACTACTCTAGGGATATCATATTTAGTAAAACTTTTCCCTGGATGCATTCTCATCCAAGCATCCAAGGCACGGTTGTAATATTTTTTTAGAGGTCCAAAAACAGTTCTATCCAATGTGGCTATACTTGCAGCCTCTGGTGTTCTCAAAGAAATAGTTGGATTTCTTTTAATAAATGCTCCAAACCAAACTTCACCAGCTGATTGAGTTATTTCCCAAGATTTTGGTACTTGTAAACTATACCTCTTGGCCATTTGATAAGCTAAAACTCTAACCTAAATTTAAACATAAGACATTAAATTATTTATATATTAAGGCAATCTAATTAAAATCCTAATTCTTAAATTTTATTTTGAATTTATTTTATAATTAATATAATAAAATATATCATACATAATTAAACCTCTAATGTATAGGTAAGAACCAAAATATGTTTTAATGCATGATATAATTTAATGCTAAATCAATGAATAAATCATTTTAAAATTAATATACATGGCAGCATCATTTTATTTTAAATATATTTCATACACACATAATTAATTCTTTAATATATAGGTAAGATATGATTTAATGCATGATATAATATATATAATGCTACAATTAATAAATCATTTTAAAATTAATATTAATACATGGCAGCATCATTTTAAAATTAATATATATACATAGCAGCATCATTTTATACATAAATGGCAGCATCATTTTATTTACATATATATCATACCCACTTAAATAAATATCATTCTAATGTATAAGTTAAATTCTAACTTTAAAGTATTTTAAAATAATAAAGATGTTTCATTAACATATAATGTAAATAATTTAAATAACTTTTCTCAAGTTTATTACTAAAGAAATACCATGGCATAAATTTAAAGATTATAAAAAAATTTTACAGAGATATATGATATAACAAAGGATTAAAATACTTGTTTAGGGCATAATCCTGAAAATAATCTTGATCCTTTAATTAAATAATCTGTTAATTTAGCTTCTTGAATAGGAGAAAATACTGATCTGTGAAGATATAGCTCTTGAAAATCTTCATTCCTTTTGAACAATTTATTATACCTCTTAATGCTTAGTTTCTTAAATATATACTATTTAAATATATAAATATACCTCCCATAACTTAAATTCGTATTCATGGTTATAACTGTCAAAGGTATCTTATCTTTCAGCATTTGAAGAATACTCGCCTTTTGATTATCATTATTTTCTTTGTTAGTTTTTCTAATATATGTTTAAACCATTTTACAAAATCAGAACCAATATTTTAATGAATGTATGTAAAAGGAAAAGACGCACCCCGCTAATACCTTCCCCAGGTCCACAGGATCATTTAAAAATTAAATTTAGAATATTAAATTAACATAATGATTGTCAATATTTTTATATATGATAAAATGGAGATTTTTTTATCATTTAGAATTTATATTAAGTCTGAACAACTTTTATAAAAAAAGTTATTCGTGAAATTGTAAAATTTAAAAAAGTTACTTTGGGTATGTTGAAACTTAAATTTGCATTTAAAATTTTTCATGAGCAATTTTGTCCGAAACAATTTTGGACCTACTTAAGCACCTTATTATAATACATATTTGGCTTAAATTTCAAATCTTAATATTTATTAATTTTTAAATTATTTGAGAAGGAAATACCTACCCCGGGAACACACTATCCCCGGTCTCCCCTAGGCATAATAAAAATATGGTAATCAGAATCTAAGAAGACCTTATACAGAATATTCAAATTTTAAAAAGCCATTATTTGTTTTTTAAGGGGTTACACATCAATTCTTCAGCGCTGAGACAATTCGGCTCAGAGTCAATTCAGCGCAGCGTCAATTCGGCGCGTATCTATTACAGTAACAATTTATTATAAAAAAAGGATGATTAAATAAAAGTCATTGAATGTTGGTCCTATTAATTATTTCTTCATATTTTTTTTTGGCAAAAATCTCAATTTTATTTACTAATTGATAATTGTGTAATATCAATAAAAAAATTTAATAATATCAAAAAAATTAACAAATCAATATTTATACGATTTTTTTGGTGAACCAATTTACCATGTTAAAAGGTATGTTGACTAGTGTTGTTAAATGGCTCGATTAAGATTTTAACTAATATTATGTACACCTGGAGATTTTGCTTATAGATGTAAGAAAGGTTTGGATTTCTATCTCGAATTTACAAATTATTTTGACTAAACAGCAGTTTTTAAAAATAGACCCAATGTTTAACAACACTAATGTTGATTTAAATCAAGACTGACTGATATAGATTTTTTAAAAATATATATTATGTTTGGGCCAATTTTTTCTATTATAAAATAATCAAAAACGATTAACACACAATCTTAATATTTATAAAATGCTTATAGAAAATATAATATACTATATTCATAAAACATGCTAAAAATATGTTTAAAAATAACATTTAAAAAAGAATCGATAACATTTAAAATTGTTTAATATGCAATCCTTCTTAAATAATCAGTAACCAGGCGATTTACATAATCAGATACAATAAATATAATATTTTCAGCTGTATCCCTATACACCTTTCTTGTTCTCGAAGGTTGCGTACCAGAAATATATTGTTTTTTTAATTTTAATTTTAATTTATATTTATAATTTTAATACCCATAATATAAATAAATAAAAAAATTGTGAGTTAATTCGTTTTTGATTATTTAATAATAGGAAAAATTGGCCTCAACATAACATATATTTTTTTAAATGATTAATAGAATTATTTTAAGGATTTTTAATAAATCTAAAAAATGAGTCAGTGTTAATTTGAATTTTTCTGGATCAACATTATTGTTAAATTTTAAAAACGGCCGGTTAGCCAAAATAATATGTAAGATTACTTTTCTGGATCTATGCGCAAAATATCCAAGTTTACATAATATTGGTCAAAATCTTAATTAAACCGTTTAACAACACTAATCAACAAACCTTATAATATGGTAAATTAGTCCATCAAAAAAATCGGTATAAATTTTGGTTTGTTAATTTATTTTTGATATTATAAAATTTTTTATTGATATACACATTTAGTAAATAAAATTGAGATTTTTATAAAAAAAAATATGAAGAAATAATTAATAGGACCAACATTCAAAATGACTTTTATTTAATCATTCTTTTTTTTATTTATAATAAATTACGACTTTATTAAATACGCACCAAATTGACACTGCGCTGAATTTTATGCGCCGAATTGACGTGTAAGGACATGCAGTTCTAAATTTTGAATCTAATTCTATTTATATCTTATTTTTACAATTTATTATAAATATTTAGAGAAGAAAGGGTTCAACATAATTTTTTTTAAAAAATCTTGAGTATATTTAAGAAATTGCATATCTAATTTTTATATTTTCCGGTCAGTAACTTTATATATCTTGAAAAATTAGAAAATAATATTGTTTACTTTTACCTATTTTTACAATTGCTCCATTACATTTTCGAGTGCCCCTTATAATATTATTTTGCTACCTTATTCATGATCATATAGTATTATATATTAAATAATAATTGAAACTGAAATATTAACCTTAACAAAACTAAAGTCTTAAAAATTTTCGAGCTTAGGGCGACCAAAACTTTTTATGACTGACCCAATATTTTTGTTAATTTTTAGGCCCTAAATTTTAGTTAAACTAATTCTTTTATCCTAATTCCAGAAAAATTTAAATTATCACTATATTTAAAAATAGAATTGAAAATATGATTATATTATATTTTAAGCCAGCTTCAAATTTTTTAACGTAATACTCGAACCCGACTTCTAAAAGGATCTGGCCTTGACTTGCAAGGCTTTGATTAAACTAATCTATAATATCTCATTTAATAAATTAAGGCATCTGCCTTGGCCTCAATTTAAACGATGATTTAGCATTTGGAGGAAGTCTCATGGTTAAGAAAGAATATAGGAGAAGAGGGGTAGCTAAACTTTTATGCAACGAAAGATTCAAACATGTTCAAAATAGATTGTTCGGCATCAATTCCATCGAAAGCAGAATCGAGACTAATATAAAGTCAGGAATGAGTTACCCAACTTTCAAAGGTTTGTAATTAATTTTATGATTGATTATTAATTAAATTCTAGTTATTTTAAAGCTCAGATATTGATAGGTGAAGTGAATATCGCAGCACTTAAAAAAACCTTAAACTTAATTAATAATGAGAAACAAAAGAAGAAAGATAATATTATCCACTATATTCCATTTCTTCCACATCAAATTAATGAACAATTGTTACAACAAATAATTTCCTATGACGAGCGCATTCATGGTATTAATAGAGACATATTTCTAAGATCTTTATTCGAGAAGGATGAAAATATTGCCCAAAATAATTCAAACGAACTCGATAAACAAGATATTATAGGTATGCTAGCGTTTAGATTTAATAATAATATAACCCCACCGATCACTGTAGGGAATATATTATCGCACTTAGAATCAAACACAATAGATATTTTAGGTTATGGTTTAATATATAAAAAATATATAGGATGGACCATAGCTCCTTTATACGCTGAAAATGAAATGATCGCATTACAGATATGGTTAAGATTGCTATCTATATTCTCCTGTATTATTAATGTCGATATAATTGTTCCGGAGGATAAAATCAAATCACAACTCTATATCGTGATGCAAAATATGGGATTAAAAAATGTAGCAATTATTTACAGAATGTACCATTCTAACAAGTTAGAGCCGGGGGTTGGTGTTAATTTAGATCCCAATTTTTTGATTCAGAGTGTTTACGGTATGACTAGTAGCAGTGCATTTTTAGTCTAAATTGCATATTTAATTAAAGTTTTATTAAATTTTTCAAAAATATATATAATGATTAGTGACAATATGCAAAATTTTAATAATTATTTGTTATTGTATAAATATTAAAAAGATAATACGTGTAATTGCAACATTCAAATTCTATAAAATTTATTCATAATGTAGAAAATATTAATAATGAATTTTATAAAAACTAAACGAATTCAAATATATAAATGGATGAAAAATAGTTAGAAAGCTATATTCAAATTTAATTAAAAGGTAGAATATCATTCAAGTTGTAGCAATTAAATAATATTAGCAAGAGATGTCCGGACCGGATCTGCAATTTTATGCTAGCTGGTATCGGTCTTGATTTTTCTTGGCCAAATTTTATAAAAAAAATTTGTTGGTTTGGAAAGGACATGTGAGTGAATATCATTTCATTAATAGAGTCGGGGAGGCCGGGATAGTGTTATCCCGTGGAAGGCAATTTTTTCCAATAATTTTAAAACTAATAAGCTTTGATATTTAAATTTGTTTAGGAAATACACTAATAATTTTTACTAATAAATTTTTTTGTGACTAAATATCAATTCTAAATGATAAAGGAAATTTTATCATGTATATAAATATTAACTATATTTATTGTCCAAACATTATAGAATGATACATTTCCTATAAATTCAAATTTTTAAATTTAAGAAAACGCAGAACAGAAGCCACAAGTTAACCCCGGGTTATTTTCATAATTCTTAAATTTTTATTTTTTTAAATTAAAATACTAAAAGACTTTTTACTTTGTAAAGAAAAAAACTACGTTTAAACATTTTAGAAAATTTACTTCATATATATTTTATAGCGCTTTCAATTTTATGGAAAATATAACCTCGGTCTTCTCTAACTCATAAACATTGGCCTGATACGCTATGATAAGGCTAATTTAATCAAGTATTTCTTTAATTACAGATAAATATTTTCGAATGACATAATAATATTTTAGGCTGATACTAGTACTAAAAGCAGGAGTGTATTGCGGGGGGGGGGGTGGCTAAGTCATATCTCCGTAAATTTTATTTTTATTTTTAGTTCTCTATCCAAAATTTGAGGAGGAGCTTAGATCGCCGCCAAAAAATTTTAGTATTTTACAAAAGTGTTAAATTTGAATCTCTTTTTTCTTTATGGTTATAAAAATCGAAATTTTTATCGTCAAAAATATAATTGTTTTTTCTTTTTTATATTTTTTAATAGCCAGGCGGCATATCTATTAGATAGAAGATATAAAAGCAAAAGTTTTATTTTCCCATATATTCATATTTTTTATTTTTCCATTTTTTTATATTTTATTATCAACTAAAATAAAAATGTTGACTCTCAATTTAACAATTTTTTTATGGATATATTAGAAAATTAAGATAAAAAATATTTTTTTGAAAATATTTAAACCAAAATAAAGACTAATAAAAATTGTATTGGTTGGAAAAGAAATTGCAATAACAATAGACAGTGATGACTGGTTTAAATTTTTTTACTTTATTTCAATAGTGCCAACTCTACAGTAGCTGTGGGGCTTTCGAATTAATACTCATTAATATCTTAAACATCAAATATTCTTTTACAACCCCCATAGAAATTTTTTGTCTCTGCTTTATTTACCTAAAGAGGTAGGGTTACCACCAGCAAATAGTGGTGATAAATGCTTCCATTTTTGGCAGGTTCTGAGAAGACTCTAATGGCTAAACAAAATTTTTGAATTATACTTGATGGAAGTTTAAACTAAGAAGGATATTCCAATCTTAAAAATAAAAACTCGTGTCCCAAGGCTTAGCGAATTTTTACTATTGTTAGGATTGAGCCGATTTAACAACTTGGCAAGAAATAGTGCAATATTAAACAAATCTTATTAAAGTTTAAATAGGATTTTGAAATTTGTAGGTAGGTTGTTATTTAGGATTTAACAACTTACTTTGAAAGAAACAATATTTGGGATATTTCCTAATTCTTCTGTGTCCTTTTGTCAATAAACTATTTTTTATTGAGTGACTGATATTTTAAAAATTTACATCATTATGTATTACTAATGAAAAGTTTAAAAACTCCTAAACTGTGTGGCTAATTTATCCTGCAGTATAGCTGAGTGTGAAAGGGGCTTCCATCTTATGTCGAGCCAATTTAAGAGTAAATAATTTTCGTAAAGCAATCATCGTTGGGCGAATGATATCTTTTCAAAATAAATACAACAAAGAAATAAAATATTTATGAAAATTGTTTAAATTCAAAAATTATAGCTCCCCACTACACCCGCTAATTTTTAAGCAATACACACTTGACTAAATGGATGTGAATCAAGTACTATATTTTTTTATTACCCTTGAGAAGGGTTGGGCATTCACGCGAATGTATATATTTCAAAAACTAAATAAAAATAGTTATTATGTTCCTCTACATGTCATTTAATAATTTTAGAAGGAAAGCATAAGAGTCTTTTTAACTCTGTCATATCTTTGTTTTAAAAATAGATGGATAGCATGTAGATAAGAAAAATTTGCACCACAAGTTTTTAGATGAAGCCGCAAGAAAATGAGATAATGGAGCAAGCAAATATTCCATCTTCTTATTTTAAGGAACTTGATTATTAGTTTTTAAATAGCTATAAATATTAATAATGCTTCTAATAATATAGTTAGAACTTAGAAGTATTTTATTAAAAAGATAGCAAATATTTTTAAATAATATATTTTATTATCTTCGGCTTCGATAGAAAGATTATTCAGTGTTCGCAAATTTAATTAATAGGCCAAATGGGTATAGATTAAATTATATTTTATTTGAAAAAACTTAAGATATTAATTGAGCCACATTTTAATAAATTAATTAAATATAATATTCCTTTTTATAAAAAATTTTAAATGTGATTTATTTGAAATTTTTGTTTGTTTATTTTATTAAATATTCTGTTATAAATTTAATACAGTGTCCAATATTCATTTTATTGTTCTATATAATTCATTTTATTAGGCAATATAATCATTTTTATTATGCATAATTATAATCAAATTATCATGATGCCCTGTAAAACGGTCATGCTAAATTTTCAATTATCACATAATTTATGTAATATGCTACGTAATATATATATTCTTTATAATGTTTGTATTACTGCAGATAAATTATGAAACATTTTTAATTTCAAAAATTTATAACTAACAAAAATTAGAGGGAGAGTCCTTTCAAAAATAATACTACGCAAAAACTTACCCAAAAAATTAAAGAACTTACCAACAAAATAAGACTTACAAAAATTAAGAAATAATTTTCTTCAACAAATATAAGGCTTAATACTAACAAATTAAAAGGTAAACGTTACAACTTTTTTATTCAATATTATTTTGATAAACTTCCAAAAATCGTAAAAAAAAATATTTCAAAAATTTATAATGATAATTCTTAAACACAAAAATCATAATAATCAATAAAATCATTTTTTTTTAAAAAACGATAAAAAAATAACATGTCAATCATATAAAAAAGAAATATTAATTTATATCAAAAATATCGTAAAAATTATGACAGATATGATTATATTTACATATTTATAATTAGAAAATGATTAATAATAAAAATAAAAGTATTCTTCAAAGTATTTTTCATTTTTTTAAACATATTTGTATTTATATTCGAATATATTATTTTTGATTTGCCCAACCCTGCCTATGTGCTATCGCTTATTTTGCTTGTTATTGTCTTAATAACGTTAGTGAGTCTTAAAAATTGAAAGCTAATTTTTTTTGAAACTATTTTCACTTGTCTTCAATTATTTTTGTCATCAGGATCTTAAATTGTTTTCTTATTTTCCTAGCGCGCATTGAGTAAAATTTTAAAAATGCTATTTTTATATTTAAATATTATAGGGGGTGGGGGGGGGAGAAATCACCCGCCTCTTAAATTTTTGAAAAAATATAAAAATATAGGCTTCATGAATTGTGAATTACAAAGTATCCTATTTCAAATAGGCTATATTCTATTTTAAATATTAGCAAAAAGTTAAAATTAATTTAAATATTTATTTCTTGTATATCTACATTTCATCTTACAAAAATTTTAAATTTATTTTCTTACATATTTTTTACCCTACACTGATGGATATAAGAAAATTTTATCAACAAAATAACATTCGATTTAATTTACCTCTACTAATAATTATGATTAGAAATTTATAGATTGTATGAAATGTCAGATAGCCAAATAAATAGTGTTTGCAATTATTTCTGAAATTCTTGTGCTACAGGAAAAAAGAAACTGCAAAAAGCTTGCATGACAAGATGGAGTTTTTGACATCAAGTAGCATTTTTTGGATCTAGAAGAGTCTGTTTTGTATGCCCTTAGAGAAATATCAGAATCACCTGAAACAGATATTTCATCTGAAAAAGATACATTATTAGATTTTAATATGACTACCGATTTTTTCATTCGAATGTATTAATAAATTATTTATTACACAACAATTTTATGCAACATTTTTCATAAAAATGGATTTGGCTGAAGTTATGAGAATCGTAAATATTATTATATTATAACTTAGAAAACCAAAAGATAATATCGACCAGTTTCTTGAGATTTATGTATTGTTGGGGTGAAAGCAAAATTTCATGCTTTTGAGATTCACGAGACTCTACTTTACCGACAAACAAAGTTCCAATATTAGTGGGGACTAAATTGAGGATCATTATAAAATAACCGTTTTTATTCTACTTTTGGATTTAATTTTGACTCAAATCAATGACCTATTTGTGATTTATCAAATGGCTCTATCCAATTTACAAATATTATCTCTCATAACACCCTCTGATCTAATGATTTAAATCTTGATATTGAAAATGTTAAATAAGTGATAAAGTTGAATTAAAATTTTATTTTATTTTACACCATTCGGCGAGATTATTTTTAGTTTATATTAACGTTTTATTTTATCGTTGTAATTTATGTTTGTTTCTTAACTTTAAAATCAATTTATTTTGACAATTGATATATTTTTTGATATTAAGTTAAATTCAATTTTAAACGAATATTTTCCTTTTATATAATTGGTTATTTTATGATTTATTTAAAAGGAACATTTTTTAGGCTGTGTCCTAAATATCAAAAAT